TCAAAACTACAACTCCTACAGACTCTGGGCATCGTCCTCGAGAAACAACACAAAGCGCACTGCAGTGTCTGAGTACACGCGATGGCCAAGCACTCATGCCTTCCTTACACAGCACGCACCGGGGCGGTATCAGGAGGGGAGGAAAGAGGAGAGAGGCTGTGCTGCAGCATCTTCAACACTGCGCCTCGTTCCACAAAGTCAGCAGCCTCACTGGGAGGAAGGAACTCTTGACCTCACTCCAATTCCAAACAAAGCTGCCATTTCCACTAACCGACAGGAGAGCTGCATGCTGCGCAGTGTAGTCGGCATCAATCTCCCGTACAGCTTGTCTCAGGGAAAACAGACTAACTTGGCGTTAGAACTTCCAGCACCACAGAAACATGTCCATAATATATTCAAAATGGTATTATGCTACTTAATCAAAGAAACAGAAAACAGTCAAAGGAAAAAAGCGTGTACTTGGGATTCTTGTACTGTACTGATGCATATGGGAAGGGGGTGAGGCAATTACTACAGAGAAAATGACAATCGTTTCACTTAAGAATTACTGAAAATAAGACTGAGGCAAAAAAGAAAATAAAAAACCAGAACAATATCTTCCAACAAGTGCTTCTTCATCAAGTAATGTTACGGGAGCTCCTTCTGCTCCTTCAGCCAATAGCTGTTGAGATACCAGCCCATTGGGGTGTGGTCTCTCTCTCTCTAAAAAAGGGGTCACTTCCCTCTCCTCTCTCTCTTGCTTCCTGCTCCGCTTCGGGCGACTAGACTCCCTTCCTGATTGCGCAAGGGCTGTTGTTGTCTGGGACGGTGATCTGTAAGGTTTTTTTTCCCCTTTAAATAAATAACCATTCTATTAATCATAATTCCAAACTGGTGTGGGACTGTTTGTGATTTACGCCTTCAAAGTAAGGCTCATCAACAGACCTGCCGACAGACGCAAGCAAGCTCTGTACATGTGAAGCTCAGTGCCGTCTGCGCTGTTTATCAGGCATTCTTTAGCAACCTCGCTCAGACAGTGAAGACGGCACCTTTCAATATGATCGCGGGAGCAGGTGTGTGTGGTGTATGGTGTGTGTGAGTGTGTCCTGACCTCTCTCTCCTAGGTCGTGTGCGTCACAGATGATATGGCTATCATTTTTAGCCAGCTTCTGGTTTCGTGTTTCTGCAGCAGAAACTGGCAAACTACGGCTTACAGATCAAACCTGGCCCAGTGATTATTTTTGTAAATACTGTTTTACCTAAGTGCAGCCATGTCTGCGTCCTGTCCCTGGATCTTTCATGCTGCAACAACAACAGAGCTGGGGCTTCTGACCTAAGCGCGGGGCCTATTCCACTCCTATCCTCTCTGATACCGTATGAGGACTACTCTGAATTGGCCTACCGTTATCTCCATAACTCTGGGGTGAAGGAGCAGTTTTTGAGGTTCAGCACAGAAGTAAAGACTGAGAATCAATAAGCCAAATAACTGACATTTGCTGACCTTTGAAGATAAAAATCTTGGTTATTCCCTCCCATTTTGCACTTTTCATTAATTCTCTTAAAAGATACATTTGATTTTTGTTTAAAAATATAAAATTTACCAAATAAAAAAAAAAAGCAAGAGAGAGAAAAAGGAATAGTTGGGTGGTTGTGCATGCCTTTAATTCCAGTACTTACGAGGCAGAGTTCAAGGCCAGCATGGTCTACAGTGTGAGTTCCCTGTTCCACAGAAAAACCAAACCAAAACCAAAACAAACAAACAAACAACAACAAAGACTTTAAAATGCGGGTGGAGGGGCAAACCCAATCCTAAAAATGTGGGTGAGTACTACACGAGAAAGATGCCTCCTCTTCCATTAGAAGGAAATGAGTTTCCTATCTCATCGGCTGCCACGGGAAGCATGGAGCTCAGTAGAGTCTCACAGTCTCAGGTCAGTGTCTCTTGCTGGTGGAAGATCTGCCCACCCGAGCCACCACAGCTGGTCAGGCAGCGGCAGTGAGGACCACTGTCCCCAGTGGCAGCACAATGGTTTCAAAGGTCATGTTATAACAGCTATATTAAGTTGGCTTTTACTGTGCTTCCTATAAAAGCTCAGTGCTGACTTTAAAAAATTTTAACTATGGGGGCTGGAGAGATGGCTCAGTGGTTAAGAGCATTGCCTGCTCTTCCAAAGGTCCTGAGTTCAATTCCCAGCAACCACATGGTGGCTCATAGCCATCTATAATGAGATCTGGTGCCCTCTTCTGGCCTGCAGGCATACAGACAGAATATTGTATACATAATAAATAAATATATTTAAAAAAAAAATTTTAACTATGTCCTCAGTCCAAAAGTATGTCAGACAGCTAAGCGATGACACATGATTTGGGCAGGGAAAGTCCAATCAGTGCTCGGCAGTAAGGGTAGTAAGTCTTCAGGGATGCACAGTCCTGTAGGCACAGCCCTTGCCAATGTGGAGTGGGAGGGCAGCGCAGGACGGATCTGGCACAGGCACTGCTGTGTCAGGAACCATGGGTGAGTGCAGGCCCGTCTGAAGTTCTGGGAAGGCCTGAACCACCTTTCTCTTCTCACCCTCCTGCCTGCAGGCAGTGTACACAGAATACAAGTCTATTCTGGATCCAGGAAACCTCAGACAGGAGAGCTGGGGAGTCTCAAGGGAGAGGCAGAAGTAGCCATGGAGCCAAGCATGTGGCTCTGGGGTCCACTGTGCCCTGGCAACTCTGACACACTGCCACTCCAAGCTTCCTGCTTGCTCTACTAGATAAGATCACTCCTACTGGGAATCACACCTATTGGCTTTCCCCGGTGATAAGGGGTCATCTTCTTACAGATAACTCTCCAGTAATTTCCTACACATACACTTTGGGCTGTCCCCAGAGTCTTATCTGAAGTCATTCAATGCTCCTACAGCTTAACAAAGCCCACCCTCTGCCACCACTCTCCTCCTCTGGAGCTTTCCCATCTGCTGGGGCTGACCTATTCCTTCTTCTAGGTGGTCTGGCAGGGCGCACCTGTCTGGGTACTCTGCTCCTCTCCAACCCTGCATGGGAGGCACTCCACTTACACTGCCAGCTGCTGTAAGAACACTTGGTTATTCACAGCCTAGAGGAATACATCTGACCCTTGGAACTCAGCAGCTTCTGGTGCCATGAATGTAGTTAGTCTTTGGTCGTGAATTGCCTTAAAATGTTAACAGTATCTTTGTCTTGCATAGAGCACCTATTTAAAAAGAATCTTTCAGGCCATGTCCCCTCTCCTCTACTGGAAGATCAGATGTCAGAGGTAGCATGTCTGTCTGCACATCTGCCGACAGCGCTCAGCCTGGCCTCCCTCAAGACCAGCTGAAGTAGCATGTTCTGCGGGGTACTCACTCTTAAAACTCCCAGTGACCAGACACCGAGTTCAGACAAAAAAACAACAGTGCTCTCATAGACTGGTAATGGGGATGGCCATGAGCAATAATGCTCTGAGTAAAGCATATTCTGCCAGAATATGTTTCATCTGGTGCAGGAGCTGTTCAGACTCCTCGTGGTCCTGACACACAAGCCTTCCAGCCCTTGGCCATATAAGCCTTGTACCTTCCTCTGTCTCTTCTGCCTCCCCTGGAACATTGACCCATGTGTGTCATGTTATTTTATTTGTATTTTAATAAATAGAGCTTGCCTGAAGATCAGAGAGTAAAACAGCCACACTGATCAGCCTTATAGATCAGGCAGCGGTGACACACACCTTTAATCCAAGTAGCCACCCTAGTCTGCCATAGAAACTGGGCAGTAGTGGTGCACGCCTTTAATCACAGCCCTAGAGAGGGAGGACAGGAGGAGACAGCTCTCTCACACAGTCTCATTCTGAGATTCCTGGATGCAGGATCGCCATTTCAAACTGAGGTACACGTAAGAGCCAGCAGCTGGTTGTTTTGCCTTTCTGACCTTCACGTTGAACACCAATATTTGGCTCTGGGTTTTTATTAATTGTGCTACACATGTGTTCCCAGTACAGCTCATCTACCTGCCCTTGTCACACCTGTGCTACCTTTCACCTCAAACTAGACAGAACCAGTTCCTTTCTTCTCAGACCCTTAGCCCCTCGTTCTTATACTGCTTCTAGCTACCTGCAAGCTCACTCACCTCCTCTCTGATGTAAGTTACACCTGCATTTGGTTAATTCTGCCTCTTTCAACCCAGCTAGGTTTGAGGGATGCCTATGCTCCATGGGTATCTAGCTCAGTCGTGTGAGGCTATGCCACTAGGTGTGAAAGAGAATGCCCAGGCCTAGATTTGGGCACACAGTTGCTGGACCTCTTTCCGGGAAAGGCAACGCCCCTCTTAGGCATGAGAAGGAAGCCTGGACTTTGTGTGAAGACAAGGCAGCGAGACCACTCTCCTCCTGCATCCTCAAGCTAGCCAGATGGGTCCCAGGGCTGACCACACTGCTACCACAATCCTAGGTCTACACGTCTCTACAGTTCCTGGGTTTGGGGAAGGACCAGGAACTGTGAGTCTGGGCTGGTACTAAAGACGAGCAGTGCAGTGTGGCGAGTTCTCAAATGCAGGCTGGGTCTGGTACACCACAGACATTTCCTTGCAGTATTCCCCAGGACCCAGAACTCAGAGAAGTGTGGTGGTAAAGGGGCCTCTTTTCACTGCTAAGAATGAACTCAGGTAGTATACTTCAAGCAAGAACTGCAGTGATTCTTTCACAGAGACCTTCCTCCTCCCTAATAAATGGACCTTGCTGGCGAGTCCAACTTTGGAGCTACCTCTGACTCCTCCCCTTAGTGAATACAGATGTGCACAAGCTGCTCTCCCCTTAGTGAATACAGATGTGCACGGTCTGCTCTTGGACACCACAAAGCAGCAAACTGCACGTGACCAGACCCAAGGGAAAGGGCTCCATCCGCCTTCAGACTACATCCAGGCAAACACCCAGGTGCTGAGATATCAAAACACTGGGCACATTGCTGTGACCAGGATAACGCCTTGGGTCCCTGGGATGGGGACCCAAACTATAGACCACTTACCAGCGCAGAGCAATCTTGATTGGGGTGGTGAGGCAGGATGTGAACAGGTCAGCTGGGAGGTCAGGGATCATGGGCAGGAGTTCATGTGCCTCACAGGCTGCCAGCTGGATGCAGTTTTTCATTGACGGAGGCAAGGGCATCTGGGCAAGTGGATGGTTTGGGTTAATTGCAGCTACCTACAGGAGGACACAGAAAGACAATGGTTTAGCTGACATTCCAGGAAAGAAGGCTGGGCATCAAAACGGAAAACACAGCACCAAGTGGAACCTTGACAAACCCTCCATACCCCTTGATGATGTCAGTGTTCACTGGGCAATCTTTCACGCTGACCTGTTTAGGTTGAACACTCAGTCCCTAATTCATCATCATATTACTTTGGAGATTTAATGGCCTAGAAGATGACCACAAGTACAGAGACGGAAGGAAGTGTGTGCACAGCAAGGCAGGTCAGAGTGACGGTTTTCTATGTACCCCGAGTTCTCTATGTTCCGCAAACAAATGTGCACTTACTTTATAGATAATTTAGTGCACTCAAACACTGGCCAGTGACAGGACTGGCTGACATGACCTACTCACACTGCCACACACAACTCTGTGCCTTGCTGTGCCACCAAAGCAGCAGGAGCCAGGGCACACTAGATGCAACTACGTCTCGTGTGCACTGTGGCTCCTGCCTCCTGCTTCATATGGTACATTCGCACGCCAGCATCTGATCTGTCAGGCTCTGCTGTCATTTCCAGATAATGAGATTCCTAATTCCCACGTCTGGCCAGTAAGGCCTGTAAATGTGACATGGGGATTGCATGTGCACGGTGCTCTGCCTGTTCCTGACGTTCAGGACAATTTTGCTTCCCACAGCGCCCAGCTAGAGAAGCAGAGCAGCTGTGAGCAATGGCTTGCCTCAAGCAAGAGTGTGATGCAGACGATGATGGCTGCTCAGAGGCGCGCGGCCCCAAGGAAGAGAAATCCCTGGAGCCCCGGGAGTGTGGGCCCCAAAGCTATCCGTCACACTGCAAAGGCAGCTCGAGGGGGGGAGACCACAGAGCAGAGGGAAGGCAGGCTACTGGCACCCGAATTCTCATTAGTGGGCCTGAATGACACACAGGTACCTGAGATAACAGGGAACTCAGACAACACGGACTACACAGGCCCAGCAGCTTGCGTCAGCACTCTGTGGGTTGACTTGGCCATAATGAAAAGCTATCTACTATGGAGTCCCAATTAACCCAGCCCATCTTGGTTGAGGATCTGGCAAAACAGTTCCGACTCAAAGTTGGTGAACCTTACTGCCCCAAAGAACCTTCTCCCTGGTGCAGATTTTTTTTTTAATTTATAAGGTCATTTGAGAACAAGGGTCATTCAGCCTTCTGGGCTTCTAAGTTGTTACTTAATCAACTCCGTAGTTTGTGTATAAACCCCATGAGACAAGACACCATTGCTTTTCATAAAGACAGGGCCACATAGGCAATCCTGATGGGCACTGAGGAGGGTGGGATGAGTCAGAGAGGTGCCATTCTAGGCCTCACAGCTACCCTCCCTCCTCACTGAGGACCCCTCCAGGGGCGCGGCTCTCCGGTGCGGGCTCTCCGACTTCTCAGCGCTCTCTTACACGCACCTGCTCATCTACTTAGCCACTGCTCTTAGGAGCTAAGTTCTGTCTCCATTTGTAAACAATGCCAGCAATTAGGGAACATCTGACTGTAACCTTAGCACTCAAGAGGCTGAGTGAGGCAGGAGGACCACTTTGAGTTTAAGGTCAGCCTGAACTATACACTGATGTGGCTGCCTGGGTCCGGTTTTAGGACTTTTCTTGGCCCATGGCTTCTTTCAGACAAGTGGTTCTCAACCTTCCTAATGCTGACGCCCTTTAATCCAGTTTCTCATGCTATGGTGACCCTGCCCCACCATAAATTATTTCATTGCTACTTCACAACTGTATTTCTGTTCCTGCTACGAATCACAATGTAAATATCTGACATGTGACTCCTGTAGCACTGCTCTAGACCCTCGAGTCTAGCTGAGGCACCTGATGCCAGGGTTCCAAGCAGTAGGCTCTGTGCCTTTTACATCAGATCCATACAACTGTGCTAGCCCCTGGACACACAAAGTTAACATCTGATCATCCGTAACATCATCGGTGGCATCTTCAATTCCTCCAATGATGAGTATTTTACCAATAAGCCTCTGCACTATAGAAACATTGAGCCCAAAGCCAAAATTCAGACATTTGTATACACAACTGTAAAATAATATAAGTCATTTAATAAAAACATCAGTTTCTAGGTAAGGAAGTGATAAATTCTATAAAATATAAAATATGCCACCTTTGGGGATCAAGCCCAGGGTATTACAAATGCTAGGCAAGCACTCTATAGCTGGGCTCTCTCCCAGCCACATGGGAACTGAATGCACAGCTCAGAATCCAGTGAATAATATTACCGAGGTTTCCTTAAGACAGAGAGAAGGAAGGCAAGGCCATGTGTAAACAGGGTTCTGGATTCTGGCTGTATAAGCTAAAATAGACGGTAAAGTCATAGCGCTGCACAAGAAACTGTTTTCCAGGTCTGTCACATCCGCCCTGCTCTACAGAGCGATGGTCTGGACAGATCTGCTCACGCAGGGTCAGGTGAGGGCCCTGGAGCCTGCAGAGGCAGCAGACTAACTGCAGCCTCACGGACGGGCACTTGGGAGCAGGTGGAGCTCTAAGTGCTCTCCAATGTCCAGTCTGGCAGAAAGGGACTGGGAGTAAGCTGGAGGATGACCTCTGCACCTGGGTAGGATCCAGGATGGTGGCAGAGGATCAAAGCCTTAGGGATGTCTGTCTGGAGCTGCTGGCAGACTGGTATTGTAGTAGGCACTGCTAAATACCAACAGTCAGGGACACACGAGGGCAGCCGACAGATGCAACAGATGATGAAAATGAGAACCACTCTAGGAAGGAATGGCCAGTGACCCGCAGTCTAAAGTCACTTCTCACTTTTCCTTTTCATAAAAAAAAAGAAAAGAAAAAGAAAGACTACAGTGATATTTTATTTGTATTTTAATAAATAAAGCTTGCCCAAAGATCACAGTGCAAAGCTAGCCACACTAGTCAGCCACACAGACCAGGCAGTGGTGCACACACCTTTAATCCCAGCAGCCACACTAGTCAGGCATACAGACCAGGCAGTGTGGTGCGTGCCTTTAATCCAGCACTAGAGAGGAACATAGATGGGAGGAAACAGGAGCTCAGGGCTCAGTCTACAGTCTGAGGTATGGTGATCACTGCAGTCTGCAGTCACGTTGAGGACAGGATCACCTCAGTTTGTCTGAGCCTTGGTAGAGGTAAGAACTCTCGAGCGGCTTGGCTGTTTTGCTTTTCTGATATCCAGTTTGCACCCCACTATCTGTCTCTGGGTTATCATTTGTGCTACAAAGCCCTTGTGGGAAGATGGTCTTTGAGCAAGGGAAGGCCTGGGCCTGGGCACAGGTGAACCACACTTAGAAGACAGGACGCGAGCCTCAGATGACTTCTGTCAACCCAGCACCTTTGAGCTGCACTGAGCCCACACGACAGTTCTGCCTCGGGGATAGCTAGACTCAGTGGCATTTTTCCTAAGAGGCATTCAAAATTTAAGACAAAGAATTTAACCAAGGACTAATCCTTTCAGATTTGCTAATATAGGAATAAAAATCCATTTACACATGTGAGTTTCTTCCCATACACTATCTTAGCTTTAATTTTTTATCTAAGATATTGGTCCTTGAATGGAAATAATCCTTCAGAAGGCAGCATGCACAGAAGGCTCACTGCTGGGCAGCCAGGCACGATGCGAACGATCTGGACAGCACCAGACTCCTGAAGGACTATGGGAGCAGCACTGCCGGGGGTTTCTCCTGGACAACCAGGAGGCAAATGCTCCAGAACAATCTTAGGATGAATTCAGTCAACCAGCTCCAAAGCAGGCACTGCTCCAGCTCCAGAGCAAGGCCAGGAGCCTCCCAGGTCAGGCACCAATTTTCAGAGCAGCACCCGCATTTCTTGTTGTTACAATAACCACTAACGTAGAGTGGTTTTGCCCTTTCCCACACACGGAATGACAACTATACAATAAGATGAGACACCGGTGAGCTCCAGAGTCCCAGAGCTGCCTTTCTGACTAGTTTTACCTAAACACAACCTTGATTCTCTATTTGGCACTGCATCATGTTGGACAGCCTGCAGCTCAGGGGGAGCTGAGTGGAGCTACGCTACTTGCCCATCCTTGTTAGTGTTCATGTCTAACAGGTGACACACTGTATCAAAGAGTAGAAGTAGAATTCCCTTACACGAGTCACAGCAATGTGTGCATCCAATCGTCAATAACAGCTTAACCAAGTGGTTTGAATCTACCAGGAACTGTAAAATTTTGGCCAAGGGAGCAGAAGAGCAACTTCTGCAGGATAACAATGCAGCGATGTCCTTCAAGGGCTCCTAGAGCCTTGTTCTGCAACAGTTTCTCACAATTATTCTGAGTTTACCCCAATGAACTGTCCATTATTTTAAAGCCACTTAGCTGCTGGCAGTTTTGGCTTCTAAATGCTCTCAAATCATTCTACAACTCAATGAACACGTTAATTAGAAATGATAAGCAAAGTCCACTCCCAATCATGCCTGGATTGAATCAACAACTAAAGAGAAGGAAGTGAGCAAGGCTCTACAGCCAAGTGCGTATGAAGATAGACACTGAGGGGCGACTCAACACCTCCTCCATCCTGAGCTGGCCAGCTGCTGGAGGCCAGACCCAGCGTCGTGATCCCGAGGAGGGAGGTGCCTGGCCTTATCTCACTGCACAGAGGCACTCAGTAGCAGAGGGTCTTCTGTGTGAGGTCTAGCATAGTATGCACAATCACAAATGTCTCTCTCCTCCATAGAGCTCCCAGTGGCCACAGCACAGAGCAGGCTCCAGAAGATGGACTGGCCCTCTGAACACAATGGCATGGTGATCTGAAACATCCTGGTGACTTATTCTAGGTCTCCTGCTGTCATGAGGAGTCGCACAGGCAACTTCTACACTCTACGTTTAGGGTAGTCATCATTTTTCTGCCATGGTCTTTCTTGGAACTCACAGCTTCTTCATTGTCTTCTGATCATCGGAATGAGCCCACAGTCACCTCTGAGCACAGTATGTTCCCGTGTAGCCTGGATTAACCCGTG